AGTAGTAAAGAACAACTTAGAGTAATAGATGCGCTTTAAAACTAAGTTTGATGCTTTTACATTTATTTCTGCACACTGTAAGTTTGAATTGGCATTACTTAGAGATTATAGATCAAGCTTGCTATAATATTCTGAGTGGAGATTTAGAAAACCTTCACAAATTACTTATATATTCAGTAACATCATTGTTCTATATGTGCAGCACAAACAAAGTTGATCACTTTAATCAACAATGGGAGAACACCATGCTTGGAGTTAATAAGTTCACCAAGGATAATCTGACAGAGATAGAATCTGTTGTGCAGTAAGTTGTTTATTATAATTATTACCGTTATTTGATTTGATTCTGGCAAACATTTACTTATAAATGCGTTCCTTGACAGGACAAAAACTACTGCATTACATGGTGCACACGAGGAATTCATCTCCGCATCCTCATCAATGCATGCGACATTTAACCAGTGTAGCGATGATTTGCTGACTTCAGTTAATGGTGGGTATCTGAATATTTCTACCTTTAAAATACATAGCATCTTTTCTTTCTTTAATAACTCATGAAACGAATCCATCTGTGTATGCACTTCCAGATTCTCTGATGAAGGATAGGGAAAGTAAGAAGGAAATCAATTCAATGTCTACCACATGCTCGACTCAACTTAACTCTATGCAACAAACCCATGGTGAATTCTTATCAAATATCCAGAATAGAACAGAGCAGTGCCTTCAAAATGTCTGCAAGGTACAGTCTTAAGTTCTCCCTATACTTGCATTCTTCAAAATAGGATTTGTCCAGAAATTACCTATACTGCATTCTTCACATGTTTAATTTGTTCAAAATTTGTCAAACAGGCTGATCAAAATGCTGATAGGACTCCAAAGAAACGCGAGATACGAATTCCCACCATTGCATCCATTGAGGAAATGGCAACAGCAATCTCTGAGATCAACATAGAAAACCAATCAAAACAGAGTGGTGCAAATGGCAAGATTCAACAGGATCTCAAGTGTGCTTCACCAAACAGAACTCCATTCACAAATGTGAATTGATTTATTTTTGGGGCTGTGGAGTCAGATATCTGGGAGTTAGATTAAGGGGGCCATGTACCATTTGAGTACCCCCATCTCCATAGAAGAAGTTGCACTCATTTACTGATGAGTGGCATAGTACTTCTTGCTCTAGATTCATTATATGTACTCTTTAGCTAATGTAAAAGTAGATTTATTTCCAACATCATTGCAATGAATCAAGTAGCAGCATATTACCAACATAATTTATTTATTTATTTTTGTTATAATAATTATTCAGGGGTGGGGCGGGGAGAGGTATCCTCGTCCCGTCCCCGTCTCCGTTCTTCGAAAATTTTCTCAATTCTCGTATTGTTTTATTAAGTTTAAAATTTATCACGTAATGACAAGTAAAATAAAAAATAAAAATTTTGCAAAGCTACTCAGTATTACTTTAAAAAAGGAAGAAAAAAAAAAAAAGAGTAAACGAATACAGTAAGACATCAATTAGCCAAGAGTGCACTTAAAATAACCTGTAAGCTTCTAAATAAACTTTGCCAAACAGATTCACAATGTGTATGTTATGGTTTGAGTTAATTCTAGCAATGGTCCTTCGACTATTATGATTTTTAAAATTAGTCCCCAACTTTTAATTTGGACATTATAAATCCCTTTGACTTTCAAGATCTTTCCAATAGAGGTCCTTTCCTCAATATATGGTTAATTGGAAGGGGTAAGCTCGTCATTCCACTTGCCTTTGTATTATTCTCCGTATTTCTTACTCTACCACCTTTGTATTATTCTCTGTATTGCTCCCTCCAGTAGTGGACTAGTGGTATCACCATTCGTTTCCCCCGTGTTGGATCAGCATCACGTTTTCCTTTGATATATTCTGCACCTCTGTTTCCTTGTCCATTAAGTTCGCCTTCAGATTTTCAATCTCGTGTCTTGATTTCTGAAGCTCTTTTTCCAGTTCGTATTCTCTCCGTCCTGATTGTCCGTTCTCCAATCTCGAAGCTAGGCTTTCGTTCTCCTCGCAGATTCCTTGCAATTCAGTTTCTTTATCCTTCATATTTGCCTTCAACTCCTCGATCGCTAGGCTCAGTTTCTGAACCTCGCCCTTGAGCTCAACCTCTCTCTAGCTCGAGGAGGATGTTATATGCTCCACTAGTGCTTCGACTTTGTTCTTCATTGCGTTTAACATCGGCTGCTTCTAAAGCTTCTCTCAGACTTTCAATTTCAGATTTCAAAGATGGAATCCCCGATTCGAGTATTTCATGGTTTTCTTCTTTCTCACTTGCTTTATTCTTCGGGTCACACATAACCTGAGGACAGTCGTTACCAGATTTAGTACCATCAGCCTGGAGTTGGCAAACGAGCTCCTCGAGTAGATTGACATGTGCACTCGATTGGCCTAACTCCATAGTAATAGCATTGTACAACTCCATGGCTTTTGACCTCGTCTGATATGAAGGCTTCCATAGTTCTTTTGGCGGTTTCGAGTTATACATAGTAGAGTTTCATTAACAAGCACTTACGCCCGAGCTTCCGCCTCCTTGCAATCCCTTAGTTGGATTCTCATGTCCTCCACGAGCAACAGAGAATTGGTCAGATTTTCCTTCAAGTTATTCAGATCAGCCTGTGCTAGTCCCGCGTTCTTGGTTTGGGTAGCCTCAGATTCCGCTATGTTTTCAAGCTGGGCTTTCAGTTCCTTTATCTCATTCAAGGCGAAAACCAGTGCGGTCGAGCTTGTTGTTATGCGTAACAACAAAATAAATACCTGGAAGGTAGTTTGCGATGCGTTGTTGCTTTGGGACAGGAAACCGGCAGCGTTCTGTGTCGTGTTTAGCAACACTATCTTAAAGATATTTAACGACCAGGGTATCGTTATATCTCCGACAGATAACACAGACGGGAAGAAATCAATCTAAAAGAACTCAGCACGGTGTTTCTCAAGTATGTCTGTAAAGCCGTGACTTTTTGTGTGTAAATAAAAATATGAAATGCATTGCTATTTATAGCATTTCACATTCCATTACAGCCAAGCCACAAAGATAGCTCACACACGGTTTAGCCGTACGAGAAATGTGCTTACCACATAATTCATTAGGACATATGTTCACCACATAATCCATTTGGATAATTATGCTTGGATAATTATGCTTAGCACATGAGTCATTACCACGTGGCTAAAACCTTGCCTTTGGATGTTTTCCCAACACTTGTCACCTCAAGCTCACATTCCACCACCTTAACCAGTTCCTCGGGGGACTTTTGAGGTTCAGTCACATAAACCTCCTCAGCAACTGCTCGTTTCAACATCCGCTTCTCGGATTCTTCCAGTTTCGAAGATATGGCAGCAAGCTGCTTCTTTTGTCTCCCCCGCTTCTTGCTTTGCTTGATTCTTCAACGCAAGAAATACGGAGAATAATTCAAAGGCAAGTTTTACCCCATCCAATTAACCGTATATTGACGAAAGGATTTCTATTGGAAAGATCTTGAAAGACAAGGGACCTATAATATCCAAATTAAAAGTTGGGGATTAATTTTGAAAAATCATAATAGTCGGAGGACCATTGCTGAAATTAACTCGTTATGGTTAGAGCCGTCGAAACGGTCTAGCGGGACGGGACGGGCCAAAACACACCAATGCCCGTCCCCGTAGCAGGGCGGGCTAAAAAGCCCGCCTCTTAGCGGGCTTGGAATGTGGCTGGCCCGCCCCACCATGCCAAAGCCCGCTGGCGGGGCGGGCCAGCCCGCCAGCCAATACTATTTTGTAATTAGAAAAGATTTGCTATACTGTAGCTTGTAGGCTTGTAGTTACACTACTGTGTAAGTGTTTTAATTTTAAAAAATGACATGCAAGCTAACAACATGTATTAAATACTAAATATTAATACAAATTAAAATAACTAACAACTAATAGAAATTATCCAAACTTTCAAATTTCTATTCAACATTAGGAATTAAAATAAAATAGTTTTGTAAATACTAAATTTCTAAAACTCATATTTCATCAAACATTATATCATTAATATCATGGTATTCTTCTCCTTGATTTCTATCATCATTGATTTGAAAATTGAGAATTGCGAAGCATTCTGCGATATATATATTTTTTTAATATAGATTACTAGGACGCGGGCTAAACCCGCGGCCCGCCTGACCTGCCCCGCTTGGGCCTGTGACCCTGGCGGGTGAAATAATCATGAACCCGTCCCCTACCTACGACGGGACGGGACGAGTCGACCCGGCGGGTAAAACCCATTTTTACGACTCTAGTTATGGTTTAGAGTAAGAGCAACCCCAATAAGGGGTTTGTGCACAAGTTATAAGAAAAAAATGGCAAGGTGGAAGAGTGCTTGCTACAAAAATGAGAATTTTGTCATAAATGTGAGTCCCATCTCCTTTTCTGTAGATGACAAGTATCTATAAAAAGACTACTTTTTGCTTTTTTAATTTCCTTTTTCTATTAATATATACGGAATAACTCACGTAAAGGCCGTAACTAATTTTTTCTCTCTACCTAGGGTTTCTCTAGGTTTTCCGGTCGTTTTTTCGACAATTTTCTACGGACGACTTCCGACGAAGGGAACAAGCGTGGTTTGATCTCTGCATGCGAGATGGCTTCGACACCGATAGAACCGGACGTGGCGGGCTTGACCCAAAGGTGGACCGATATTGTGCTCGAAGAGGAAGCGACGGCGTTTCTGCCAGACGAAGGGGCTGTTGCCGAGGAGGGGGGCGGCGAGGTGGAGGAGAGTTGGGGGGTGGTGGGAAGGTTCTTGACACGAAAGCTAGTCAGGTTGGACTTTATGAGTCAGGTCTTGGCATCGGTGTGGCAACCGGTGAGCGGGGTTGAGGCAACGGAGGTTGAGCCTGGTCGGTTTCTGTTTGTTTTTCATCATGTAACGGACATGGAACGAGTTCTAAACGAGGGTCCCTGGTCTTTTGATAATAGCACGCTGGTGTGTAAACAGGTCCCTGGCGGAGTTATGACGGTTGATGTAGTGCTGGATACGGTGGATTTATGGGTCCAATTGCATGAACTGCCGAAGGGATACTCATCTAGTAGGATTTTGGAACAGATCGGAAATTTCTTGGGTACGTTTGTGAAATATGATGATCGATTCGACAACGCTCCATGGAAGATGTATCACTGTATTAGGGTTTCGTTGGCTGTTGATAAGCCCTTGAAAAGACGAATGAATTTTATTAAACGAGATAAGACGAGTTGCTGGGTCATGTTTAAGTATGAACGCTTTCATACTTATTGCTATTTCTGCGGGATACTAGGCCACGCGTATCAGTTTTGTCGTGGGGCAAGGGACTCGAAGATGCCGGTGGAGGAGTATTTGTATGGCCCGGAGCTACGGGCAGGAGGGAGCCGTGGCCCTAGGCCGGTGGGGGCAGCTGGCTTTTGCCGACGGGCCGGCATGCCGTGGGGCGGAAACCGCCAGCTGATCGGGCGGTTGTGGGGCGGACTCCGGAAGGTGTGAACCGGACCGAGGGGGTAGTTGAGGCGGAGGTGGTGGCGTTTGCCAAGCGGCGCCGGGGGGAGGTAGATGGTGAGGGACGGAGGTACGGAGGAGGGGATATTGTCATGGCCGAGATTCCAAAAAACTTGCAGCAGGCGGGCTCTGGTTCCCAGACCCGTCCGGATCAATGAGTACTCTAAGTTGGAACTGCCGTGGCTTGGGTAATCCACGGACAGTTCGGGAGATTGTGGACATGGTGTCCCGAAAGCAACCCGACTTTGTATTTCTAATGGAGACTAAGGTAGCACGTGATCATGCGGAACGATTACGTGTTAAGATCGGTTACGAAGGACTTTTTTATGTTGATAGTGATGGGTTGAGTGGTGGTATAGCGTTACTGTGAAAAAAGAATAGTACGGCTCGGCTAATCAGTTACTCAACGAACTATGTTGATGTTGGGGTAACTATTGATGGCTTTCCTGAATGGCGAATGACAGGTTATTATGGGTTTTCTGAACGAACGAGACGCGCTGAGTCATGGGATCTTTTGAGAACACTCTCGGGCAGGTCGAATCTCCCATGGGTTGTTATTGGAGATTTTAATGATTTGTTATATCAGAATGAGAAGAGAGGGGGAAATCCGCATCCGAATAACCTCCTACGCGGCTTTGGGGAAGCTATTGAGGACTGTGGGCTTGCTCAGTTGCCTATGGTTGGTTATCCGTACACATGGGAGAAGGGGAAGGGGACAGCAAACTGGATGGAGGAGAGGCTCAATAAAGTTCTAGTAACGGACGAGTGGCGGGGTATGGTGATGGGGGCTAAGGTGATGAATCTGAGAACCCGGAAGTCTGATCACTCGGCTCTCTTTCTGGGGATTCAGGACTCCGCTGGGGGTGTTGGGCCTCGTAGGAAGGGTTTTCGGTTTGAGATGACCTGGCTGCATGATGAGGGGTGCAGGAATGTGGTAGAGCAGTCCTGGCAGGAGGGGAGGGGCCAGGGTTTACAGAACTGTATTCAGTACTGTGGGACCCGGTTAACACGATGGGGTGGAGACCGGTATCATAAGTACGGAAAACGGATCAATGAACTGACAAGAGAGCAGCAGCGGCTGAGGGGGCGTACTGACCCGGCCTCCCTAGCTGAGTTCCAGCACCTGGAGCTGTTAAGTTGTACTGAAGCTCAGGAGGATGCCTACTGGAGGCAGAGAGTCAAGCAACACTGGCTTAAGGAGGCAGATGCTAATACGAAGTTTTTCCACAGGTATGCCTCTCACCGAAAAAAGAAGAATACTATTTCTAGATTGATGAATGATAATGGGGATTGGGTTGAGGGGGAGCCTATGAAAAATATTATTTTGCAGTATTATAATCGTATTTTCTGTGCTGGAACCCCGGGAACTAGGGAGGATTTTTTTTGAGGGAATTGTCCCGCGAATCACGCAGGCGCAGAATGAGTCTTTGTTGCGTTCGTTTGAACTGGATGAGGTTAAGAGTGCACTGTTTGCGATGTTTCCGGACAAGGCACCAGGCCCGGATGGAATGAATCCAGGCTTTTACCAACATTTTTGGGATGTGGTTGGGGTGATGTGGCGAGCTTTATAATAAACTGTGTTGTGTCCTGTGATTTCCCGCCTGGGTTGACTGAGACTGATATTGTTTTAATCCCTAAGAAGAAAACCCCTGAGATTGTCACTGATTTGCGGCCTATAGCCCTCAGTAATGTGGTCTATAGAATTATGGCAAAAATGTTGGCTAACAGAATGAAGCCGTTAATGGAAGTAGTAATATCTGAGTCACAAAGCGCATTTATCCCGGATAGATTGATAACGGATAATATACTATTAGCTGCAGAAGTGGGGCATTTTTTGAATAGGAAACAATGTGGAGTGGGGGGATGGAGTGCTCTCAAGTTAGACATGGCAAAGGCATATGATCGGGTCGAATGGCCCTTCTTACGAAGGATGATGTTGGCGCTGGGATTTCATAGTGGTTGGGTGGAGTTGATTATGAAGTGTGTAACCTCTGTCTCATATAATATCCAGGTGAATGGCTTAAGATGTGATCCTGTTATACCCACTCGTGGAATAAGGCAAGGGGATCCTTTGTCCCCATATCTATTTATTATTTGTGCAGAGGGTCTATCTTTGTTGTTGCAGCAGGCACATAATGTGGGATCGATACATGGCTGCAAGGTAGTAAGAGGAGCCCCCCGATTTCTCACTTATTTTTTGCAGATGATAGTCTGTTGTTTTTTAAGGCCAAGGCGGAGGAAGCAACTGAGGTTAAAAGGTGTCTAGCTGTGTATGAGAATCTATCCGGGCAGGCAGTGAATTATCATAAGTCGAGTATATGTTATAGCAGAAATACTAGTAACGAGGATAGACAAAGTGTGGCTCAGATTTTGGGAGTGGCACAGGCACCGAATTTTGGCAAGTATTTGGGACTCCCCTCTTTTATTAGAAGGCACAAGAAAGCAGTTTTTGCGTATGTGGAGGATAAAATCCGTCAAAGGATTGGATCATTGAATAAAAAACTGCTATCACAGGCAGGGAAAGAAATTCTTTTGAAAACTGTAGCACAATTTATGCCTACGTTTTCAATGAGTGTTTTCTTGTTACCTGTATCAGTGTGTACGGCGGTAGAAAGGACGATGAATCGTTACTGGTGGGATTCTGGAACTGACAGGCGAATACATTGGCAGGCGTGGCGAATGTTGACTAAGCCTGACTCTCTGGTGGCGCGTGTGTATAAGGCCCGGTATTTTCCGAAAGGATCTTTCTTTGATGCACAGGTGAGAAATAATCCCAGTTTCTGCTGGCGGAGCATCATGGCAGCAAAGAGTATTATTTGTGGTGGGGTCAGGCGCAGAATTGGTAATGGTGAGTCTACATTCATATGGACACACCCTTGGCTACGGAATGACCATGACCCAATGATACAAACAGAAGTGCCAATACAGTTGAAGGAAGCCAAGGTAGCAGGTTTGATAGACCAACAAACTGGTGTCTGGGATCCCTCAATCTTAACTGACTTATTTCAACCCAATGATGTGGCGGAAATTATGAAAATACCCATCTCCCCGGAATATGATAATACTTGGTACTGGCATGGGGATCCAAGAGGAGAGTATTCTGTTAAAAGTGGATATAAGCAAGTAATGGAAAATTATCAACAGACTAATGAGGTATTTACAAAATGGTTATCCCTATGGAAGTTAAAAATCTCCCAAAATGGAGAATGTTTCTATGGAGAGCCATTAGTGATATATTGCCTACTACTACAAACTTGCTTATAAAGAGGGTGGATGTGGATCCACGATGTGCCATGTGTGGGTTATCTCAAGAAGACACAATGCATGCTTTGGTGTTGTGTGATTTTGCAAGGAACATTTGGAATAAATCTAACCTCACAATTCTAAATATAGTCACAAATATTTTTTATGTTTGGTTTGATGAACTTCTAAATGTTCTAGACTCTGATGGGATATTCTATGCAGTAGCAATACTTTACAATGTGTGGAGAGCAAGGAACAGGGCCGTTTGGGAAGCAACACTACCACGGCCGGAGGTGGTCCTCAAAATCGCCGCTGCAGCCAAGCTGGCGTGGAATCGGGCGCACCCACAGCCCACGGCCCAGGCCACCACGCTGCCAGCCATGCCGAACCCGCTGCAAGGAAGCGCCAATCTCCACGCGCCGAATTCCCTCGCTGCCAAGCCACCTGGACCGCCAAGGCGCATATGCCGTGTGGACGGGGGGTATATGCAGGAGACAGGGCAAGCTGCTTTGGGGGTACTCTTACTAGACACGGACGGGGGATATGTTTCAGCATACAGTGGACCACTACAAGGATGCTCCTCGCCACTTATGGCTGAGGAGCTCGCATGTAAAGAAGCTCTATCATGGTTGAAGGACCGGGGTGAGCAGAATGTTGAGGTTTATACGGACTGCCTGACACTACATCGTTATCTCACTACACCAACCGTTGTGTTGCGCACATATCTAGGCTATGCCATTGACACTTGCAGGCTTATTGCATCTTCGTTTCAGTCTTGTTCGTTTCATTTTATTCCTAGATTAGAGAACCATCTAGCTCATGCTTTAGCTACTACGGCTTATCAGCAAACTGCAACTATGTATTGGGATCTACTCCCACCGGATGTTATTTCGGCCTACTTTTAATGAAGCATCATATAATTTTCAAAAAAAAAAAAAAATTCTTTTTCTATTCCTTTTTATTTTTATTTTTTATTTTTTTTATTTCTTATTATTTTCTCTTTCCTAATCATACATATAATTTTTATTAAAAAACTACACCAAAATCCCCACTGTTGAGGTGACATGGGGGGCCCAATGGAATTAATGATGTGTTTCATTTCCCATAAAATTGACGTGAAGATCTCCAATGCAATTGCCGACGCAAATTATGCTGTGCAACCGAATGCACCATGCGCATGGTGCATACGATGCAAAACGATGTTATTTTGGTTAAAAAATACGCGTCCCACTTAAAAAAGAAATCAGGTTCGATTCCCGACAATAGCATTTTTATATATCCATAAATTCATAACTATATATCCATAAATTCATAACTATATATCTACAAATTCATAACTATATATCCACAGTGAATGAATGAACTAAATATCCACAATGATTAAACTAAATATCCACAATGAATGAACTAAATATTCATAAATTCATAACTATATATCCAGAAATTCATAACTATATATCCACAATAATGCTATTGTCAAAAATCAAACCTAATTTTTTTTTTAAAGTGGGACGCGCATTTTTAATCAAAATGACATCGTTTTGCACATTGTGCATACGGTTACATAACTATTGAATTGCCGCCGGCTGGGCTTCCTCACTTTCTTTGCTTGCTGTCTTCTTGTTTTTCTCCCTCACTCTCACTCTTTTACTTCTGCAAAAACTCATCAAATACAAAAGCTTTAGCAGCGGACTCCAGCAGTCTCGGCGGCAAATGGAGAAGAATTCCGGCAACCTGAACGACGGAAGTAAGGAGAACCCAGCGGCCTCCACGGTAAGCTTTCATTCGGTTCTTGAATTAATATAAAAAGTGTATGTATACTGAAATTTTCTAGCTTGACTCTATACTAGAATGTGTTTCTCAGATACTAGCAGATTGTTCGAATTTGGGTTTTGACCCTTTGGGGATAATTGCGCATAGGCTTAATTTTGCTTTAGATTATGTGAGATTTGGTATGGTATGTCGGTCATGGAGTAGGGTTGTTGCTGAAAATGGACCCTCATTTCTTCCATGGCTGATGCTATCTCAGAAACATGACACAGATTTTCGTGGGGTGTGTTATCCATTTGAAAATAGGAGCTTAGATCTTCACTTGCCAGAACTTCATGATAAGCGGTGTTGGGGATCTCCTTGTGGTTGGGTGGTCACTCTTGGCTCTGATTTTGGATTAGGCTTACTGAATCCGTTAACGAGGGCACAACGGGTGCTTCCACCCCTGCCGAATTTGAAGAACCTGGTTTGTAGTCGAAGGCAATTTCGCAATAGTTTTGTGAACAAAGTAGTCTTGTCATCGAGCCCGGATTTTGTAGTTCTGGCTATCTATTCTAAACGTGAGAAGATGGCCATACTAAAGGCGGGTAATCATACTTGGACTCCATTGCCATTGGAATGCTGCCCTCGTGGTGTTGAAGATGCGATTTGTTTTGATGGGAAAGTGTATATTGTAGGGTGTTCGTGGGAGATTGCGATTTTTGATTGCCAAGGCTGCGTTTTGCAGGAAATAATTTTCCCGCCATTGCAGGAAGTTTTCTTAGAGCACCAAGAGGACTTGCATCCAGATGATGGGTTAGTTGATGCATATGTGGTTGAAATAAATGGGCTGATATATGTTGTTTGCAAAGTGTTGGAAACAAGAAACGACCAATTTGCAGCTTTCCATCTAAGAACGAAGCGCTTTGATGTTTACAGGCTGGAGTTGCAGGGCAACGAGGGGAAATCGGACGATGTAGAATCGTTGGGCGATTGGTCAATCTTTGTAGGCAACAACCACTCCTTCTCAATATGCTGCACCAACAAATACCCGGATTGCGTTAGTAATTGCATATACTTCACGGATGACCGCTCAGATTTCCTGCACTCCTCTACCAGCTATGATATTGGTGTTTACAATCTCCAGACTCGGAAGATACAATGGGTTGCTCAGGATGATTTCTCGGTGTTTTCATATTCTGCACCACTATGGTTCAACCCAAGTTTATCCTAGGATAGTCTTCATTACCTAGCTCCTTATCATTTTTCCATGTAGAGTATATTACTATCTACCCAAAAATTAAGGTGGGTTTAGCTAGGGGTTTGGGGATTGGGTTAGTTAGTTGCAGATGATGTAAATCTGCCTTATCGAACATCAATTTATATGTTCGACTTCTATATGAAAGCATGCTGACATAAATAAATATAGAAAAAGCAGTGAAGTTATTGCGAGAAACTGAACTTTTTTCCCTAGGTTTAAAACAATGTGCTTACTTTTCCCTTTGAATCCTCTAATTTGTGTTCAGTACCCCCATTATCCATAGAAGAAGTTGATGAGTGGCTTAGTACTTCTTACTCACTCATAATACTGTGAAAGCTGTTTTGACAATATTATATGAACTCTTTAGCTAATGTAAAAGTAGATTTATTTCCAACATCATTGCATTGAATTAAGTAGCAGCATATTATCAACATAAAATTATCTGCTTCTAGAGTAAGAGTTTTTCTTATTGCAAGAGTCTTCAAAATCATAGATTTTAATTATTAAAAAAAAAAACGAAAAAAAAAGAAGAAGTTAAACTCCCAATCCTTGCCGAAACCTCTATTACCCAGTCCCTCTAAATCACATGAAGCCTCTTAGACCATCTCCAATTTAAAACATCAAATTGGACGTTTGGTTCAGGTTATATAACATAACCAAGGGAATGTGACATTCTAAAGCTCACATTCCGGTGTTTGGTTCATATTATCTTAGGGAATCTAACATTCCCAAGGAATGTCACATTCCCTCCACATAGGATTTTGAAGGGAATGTAATTCCCTTCAAAATCTTAGATAATGTAAGATAACCTTGGTTATGTTAGTTTATATATATATATATATATATATATATATATATATATATATATATATATATATATAAAACTTTTTTTTATGTTACTAACTCTATTACACTGTAGTATCTGTTTAAACATACTCTCTCAACCTAATGAAGCACCTTTTATGTTACTAACTCTATTACAATGGCTCAATCTCACGACCTCCCAAATGGGAAAAGTCACTACATGTCATCTGACCACAAAGTGTTTGACTATAACTTTGATATTTAATTACAAGATAATGTAAAAAGAAGTCAATGGGCAATGTAGTGGATATAATAAATTAATAAATTTGAAGGTAATGAATATTTGAATTGTAGAAAATAAAGATAATATAACTAATGAAATTATATCTATTTTTAAATAAAGGCATTATAGATATCTAATTTTAAATTAATTAAATGCATATGTATTATTTTTTGTTGTAACTACTAATTTATTTCTACAATCTACATCTATCTACATACATATACAATACAATTCTAATAAGAGCCAATAATGTTAGGCCCTTAACTGGAACAAAAAAAATGTCCGTAGTATATATTGTTTCTTAAAATGAATGATTCATATTATTTTGATTTTAGTATTTTTAAATGATTTTCCTTATTTACCCTATATTACATTGTCTTCTTCCTTTAAATATTAAATTCTGTTAGTATAAACTTTAGTAACGAAATATTCCGTTAACTATTTATTAATTTTACAGTTAAAGAACGATTTGGTCTCTCAATTATTAGCGTCAATGTACTCCCTCAATTGCTTATTATTCATCGATTTTGTCCCCGAAAACAATAATTTTTAGTCGATTTAATTCCTCAGGCCGTCGTCCGAAGAGTAGTATTCAGTAATATCATTGTTCTATATGTGCAGCACAAACAAAGTTGATCACTTTAATTAACAATGGGAGAACACCATGCTTGGAGTTAATAAGCTCACCAAGGATAGTCTCGCAGAGACAGAATCTGTTGTGCAGTAAGTTGTTTATTATTATTATTATTACCGCTATTTGATTCTGGCAAACATTTGCTTATAAATGCGTTCCTTGACAGGACAAAAACTGCTGCATTACATGGTGCCCACGAGGAATTCATCTCCGCATCCTCATCAATATAATGCATGCAACATTTAACCAGTGTAGCCATGATTTGCTGACTTCAGTTAATGGTGGGTATCTGAATATTTCTACCTTTATAATACATAGCAGTGCCTTCAAAATGTCTACAAGGTACAGTCTTAACTCTTAAGTTCCCTATATGCATTCTTCAAAATAGAATTTGTCCAGAAATTACCTATACTGCATTCTTCACCTGTTTAATTTGTTCAAAATTTGTCAAACAGGCTGATCAAAACGCTGATAGGACTTCTCTAAGATCAACTTAGAAAACCGATCAATAATGCCAAAGGTCATGGGTTTGAATCTCCCCGTCACCTGATAAAAAAAGGGACTACGATGGTATCAGAGCCATGCAAGATTTGAATCTCCCCGTCACCCGATAAAAAAAGAGACTACGATTAGAGCCATGCCAAAGGTCATGGGTTTGAATCTCCCCGTCACCCGATAAAAAAAGAGATTACGATGGTATCAACGCCATGAAATGTGCAATCCAACTATTAATAACTTAGACTTTTAGTTGTGATTAAATGAACGTACATACATAATTAAATGTATTTTTGGACTAAGGTCCACAATATAAAATAACATTACGCTATGTTACAACAATTGACAAAGAAAAAATACTTATACTCCAAAAGCCTACTCCCAATTTTTACTATCTATCACAAAATTTTGATGTTGACATTTTTCATGTGATCTAAAGGATGAAGATAACTTATCATTCATTGTCACATCTAGGAGTAAAAAGTGAAGGAGTGGAAGGAGTTATACTATAATCTCAAATTCTACTCACTGAGCTGTAAACAAGGATAAGTTATTTTTATTATGTGGATCCACAGAGAAGTGTTTACATCAAGAACATACCTCAGCTCCGATCCTCTATCATTTTACCATGTAGACAGACTATTGTATATTACTAGCCAAACCCTAGCTGGGTTTAGCT